GTGTAATTGCTTGACTTTCGAGCTCTAAGGAGAGCGTCTAACGCAATCTTCAAGTCGGGTGACTCTTTCAAGATAGCCATGATCTGCGGACTACGAAAGCCCAGTTTGCGTGCGAGGACAGCCATGTTGAAAATAACCTGGTCGTCTGCCTTCGCTCGCCCTTTAGCTTGTGCTGTTCTAGACTTTTGGTCGCATCGTATCTCCCGAGGCATATCCGGGTAATGTCGCATTGCGTACATCCATAATTGTCGATATCCAAACATTAACCGTTCCTCTTTTGGCCCCGAGTGCCGACGAAAATTATTCTCGGACGTCTGAATAAGGTATTCGTCTCCCGTTGATTGAGGCTGGAAACTGTTAATCAGTGCACTTCGAACTGTTGGATATTTGCCATTCAGTTCAACTAGCCGTTCCACGCCGTCGGCACATAGTTTAAGGTAATTAATGTCGTGGAAGAATGTGGTTAAAGATGGTATCACACCTTCGCAGTCTTCATTCACCTGAAGATTCTCTAAGATAGCAGCACGCTCCGAGCGACTAAAGTTGGAGAAGACCTCGCCACTGAGAATTCTACCTTCCACGATCTTCTGGTCAACATCAGACGCTCGTGGGGCGTACAACTGCAGTGTCTCAACCGTGTGAGTATCTATACGCGACATTTTATCGCTGTCGTGATCGACGAGTGCTGCCCAAAAGTTTTTGATGTGTGTCAGATAGTGAATGATTTCCTAGCCTAACGGTCAGCAAGGGTTCTATCAGATAGCAGCAAGTGATTCAGACCTCATCACATTTCAATGCCATGACACTGTTCATACTTCCGAGACTCAAGCCATTCCAAAGACCTGGTATTGCAAGTAATTTGTTAAGGGCAGCGCATAGATGGCTGTTCTTCGTAGAGTTTAGCTGCTTGATCCGGCTAGCCTTGTTTTCCGAAAGACGCAACAGCCAGCGTTCTTGAGATAGAGCATTATTTTCCCGTTGGTAGTAGCGGTATTTCCGATATATCTCCCCATCCGAGGGATGCTTTTCATCTCCATATTCGTCAGCAAGGGCGTTGCGCAATTCCAAGCTGATATCTAGCCGTCATCATCAGACAGGAAGGACGTTTTCTGTTGGAAGATACAAACCGTCTAGATAAAGGTCAACAGTCCACCACCGGTCCGAGGGTGGTAGAGTCTCCGCAGCGGCTTTCAGTCGGTGTTTACCATGAATACATTGTAACCTCAGATTTGGAAAGGCAAGGAGAGGGGGGTTTTGTCGAGAAGATTTCAGTTGCTCGGAGGTCACGCTGGCGGCTCGACACGCTCTGTCGAGGCAATGTTTGGGGATGATAGCTGTCACGTGGTTCCGAATGCGCAGTCTTCGGCAACCATTTTTGAGGAAGATCTGACTAAGTCGCTCGACGTTTTTCTGGTCGATTTCTTGGTCTCCCAACGAATCGATAAATATCTGGCTTAATTCGACCCGAGCAGTACCTTGATATTTAAGCTGCTGTTCTGCAGCTAGTTGCCGTTCCACTTGGCTGAATACTATTTCCTCCATATCGTTTGACACAAAGATGGCTGTTCATTCCTCTCTGGCTTGGATCGAGATTTCATGGTGGTGATATGTAACCGGTCCATTTACTCCTTATTGATGCGCGGAGCAGCCAATTGTGAGAATTACATGAGTTCACCTAAGCTGCTACTAGACCACTCTGGTTTTGGAGAGGGCCATCAAATAACTAATATCTTAGGACGCAATAATCTTTATGGCATCTGGCACAGTTAGGCCTGACTAAAAGTCATTCTAAAGTTGCAGCCTAACGGAACAAAAGGTGGCAAAATGGTTTTCTATGTGATAGCTTTGAAGAAGACTAAATGTTGTTGAGTCATTTTTAAGAGGTCTATCTCAGAAGTCTTCGGTGATCAATCAGAAAAAAACTCCCAACGAGTATTACATTGGTAATATTTGGAGTCTTGGAAACTTTGAACACTTCTCGACTCTTGAAATCGTGATGATTGTGATGTTTACGAGAAAAGCGTCGCTTTACCAGGCTCTGGCAAATGCCCTGTGGAATAAGCGGACCCGTAATCTACTCATCCACAACGTCACGATTATAGGCAAAAGGTTATTTCAGAACTTATACTGTGTATGATACACGTATACTCGCTTTGTTTCTGTGATGCAGATGATCTTTCCACATCTTTCTCTTTGTCAATGAAATGCTCTTTGGCCCCTTTACGAAAACGTCATGCCTTTGTGCTGATAGCCTCACCGTTTCAATTAAGCCAGAGATTTCGATGCTCGCGGACTTTTCGTGGACTGCCACGCTTATGTGGGGAGTATTCGTATGACGTCTTGAAAGTTTCCTGCCCCTGCAGTTTTTATCTTCTCCCCTTATGTTGCCTATCATAAATGACTACCAAGCTGTCACCTTAAACGCGTTCAAGCATAATTCTCCCATGTGGAGTATTTAAGTTGATTTGTGCTAAATTTATTGAAGTGCACATATATATTAAGCAAGTTGATAAGATTGAGTAAACATAGATCCAGTTTGAATCACGATATGCATTATAGTCCTGAATTCTCGCATGAATGACAAGAACCAGACAATGGACAATTTATTAGACGTGGCATACACAAGGTACAATATTTCAAAATTTTCACTTCTGGATTATTGCACATCTTTTGTGCTCGATTGATCGTTTCTGATGTTTTCATATGGCGAAAGAGGATAAATTAACGTGTTATTTGATTTCTCCAATGCTGCCGACCCGCCGAGCGACGCCACGAGCTACGTCTGTATGTCAGCTCCATCAACTTATCTTAGATCACGCCAGATCGAAATACTTACTGTCGAAATCAAGCTGTCCTGGTCGTTCCTATCCCCAGATATTTCCCACCACATGCCACCGCCTAGTCGCTGCTCCATGATATACCTGGCCTTTCGTTCTATTATCTCAGGGGTATCATAGCTGACCATCATGTGGTCTTGCGAGCTATACGAATAGCTTGCCCCAATAGGCCCCACTATTGTCACATTATCCCCACGTGGAGGAAGCGATTTGTAGTCATACACGCCCTTCTCCCAGTCACCCGCAGGGACACCATTGAAGGCTTGACCAGGTCCATTCGTATTTGAGAATCCTCGACCATATAACGACATGCCGAGCACAAGTTTGTAAGATGAGATATTGGCACTGATGTAACCTTGGACGGCTTGATCGGTGTTAAATGGAGTAGCGGCAGGCAATTCAGTGGATTCGAAGATAGTAGCTGTATGACCACTTATCGTGTCCCAGCTTCCTGCATAGTCATAAGCCATTATGTTCCAGAAATCGATGTAAGTATCCATCTCCTTCTTTTTAAGAATGTTATATTTTGCTGGACCTGTAAACGAAAAGGTCTCGTTAGTACACAACCTGAAATATGAAACAGTGGAGCGACTCATACTCGCTGATGCAGCCACCGTAAGAAGGAAACGATTCTTCAGAGGGTATGAATTCGCATAGTCGTCCAGTTCCTATTAGAGGTATTTTGGTTGGTTTAAATGCATAAATGTATTTTCAGGCCCTTACCTCTCGGACTTGCTTCAGTAACAAAACCATGTTTTCGGCCTCTGTTTCATTTGCTGGATACTACAAAACCCACATAAGCATGTTGGGGCAATAAGGCACATGGCGGCTTACCTCCCAATCTATATCCAATCCATCAAACCCCCAATCGGCCATCATTCTAACAGCTGAAATTGCGAAATTGTGCCTTCCTGACTCGCTTGCGCTCATCATGCTAAAGCAGCCCGAGGTTGAGTATGTGTATCCTCCAATTGAGAGAGAAACCTTAAGGTTCCGGTATTGCTTCTTCAATTCAAACAGCTGATTGACACAGCCATAAATGTACTCATGATTCGTTCCTTTCTCTGGATCACCCTGCGAGGGCCAACGCTTTTCCGCATCTGCCCAGATGTCGGATGCAAAAACAGTGCCGTTTGGATGTACATTAGCAAATGCATAAAGAACATGAGTCAGATTTTCCGCAGGAAGCTGCCAAGGATAGAATTCCCGGCTATAAATATCCTATTTGCTCATTAAATCTGCTTGGAAGAACCTTGGGATCTAATAGACTTACCCAATTGGCGAAGTAAGCTACAGACTTGAAATTCTGGCTCATTTGCACATTAGTGTGTCGATTTCCCAGGGCATGGTGACGATGAAGGTGATTGTGTGCGGCTGTCCAGCTGGCGGTTAGAAGAATGATGCATAATTCCAACGCCAGATGCATTCTGATCACTCTTAGAAGCCGATAGGCTGGAGAACTCTAAATAATATAAATGGTGCTCATAGCATACGGGTCAAGTAATAGAATATAAAGTAGTAAGCGGTGTTGCACTATCAATATATGAATAGGTCTTGAGACAATAAGACTCAAAGGTCTTGACAGAACAGAGTACAATTGTCTGAATCTTCTAGAGAGCTATAATCCAAAGTTCTTGGGATTAGATTCTTCTACAAAGCAAGGATAACTTATTGATTTATATTAATATTTTGAACCTCAACTACAGGCATTTTCTCCTTGCCTGAGACCATACATTTTGGTGCAGAATAGATGGGCGCACGATTGATAATCTAGTCTCGAACTGCAGCGGAGTCTAGGATAGCGACCATATCGGTGCGGGCTAACAATAAATTCTTTAGCCTGTACCAAAGTTGGATTTAGTATCGGTAAAAATCTGGTTAGGTAGAAATGATCTTTACCACTGAGCCGCCCTGAGTTCTATCGGATTTTGGAACTGCATTGTTTAAATTCGAGAGACCCAATGTACCAGTACAAGTCATATATCTCATATATCTGGGCCCGCTTTTTCTGTCATGCGAAGGGATAATTTTTTCTACTCATCTCAAATCCTCTGAACCCTTAATGGAATGGGCTCCATTGGCTATAAAGGTCTTTGCGTTCTCATTCTTCTTAGCGAGCGCAAATGGTCCGCAAAGAGTCTGACTGGTCCACGCTACTAAAGAATGGATATCTTGATTATTTATTTTATTGTCGCAAGCATTGTTCTTGCTAGTCTAATCTTTAAGCGACTTCTGGCATTTTTGGCACAACCGAAAGGTTTATTTTCGATACTCTATTTTCGCCACATCGTTCTACCGTATTTGGTTCGCAGGCATCGTTTTTGCGGTCCGTGGACCCGAGCCGAGTTCATTCTCCACTTACTTTACATTTGTGTCAATGTTTTTTTCGTATTTTTTAGAATGAAATCATGGAACGACTCCGGCTTCCGAGCTGCAGAGCTTTGTCTGATTAACCTGATTTTTCCCCTCTCGGCAATACACCTGAGCTACCTGGCCGACATTCTGGGCATAAAGCTGAGCACCTGTCGGTGTATTCATCGCACTACTGGCTTGATGGCTTTTGCTCTGTTGTTATATCACGTCATCATGACGTTTCGTACTCAGGGGTTTACTTTCTCACCTCGTGAGGAGGCTAACCTCTTTGCAATTGCTGTAAGACTCAATTCGAGACTTGGTCCATTGAAACTAAAATTATAGGCTGCTATATCACTTGTTCTGCTCGTACTTATTCTGGTTGAAGGTGTTCGTCGGTGGGCTTACGAGATTTTACTCCGTGGACACCAACTTTTGGCCGTATTCTTCGTGTATAGCACCTGGCGCCATCTGACAACAAGTACTTTCTACAGAATATACCTCTTGATTGCATCAGCCATATTTGGATTATTATTTCTTCTGCAATTGATAACAGTTTCATATCGAAACGGTCTGTTTGCGAGGCGTGGTCCTCCCCGGGCCTTGGTATCGTTTAGCACCAAATTCGGTGAGAAAGATCAACTTGTGGTCACGGCCATTCATATCCGACTTTCTTTACCTCGGCCTATAAGAGTGGAGCCGGGCCAATATATCAATCTCTGGATGCCATCAGTCAGTTTATGGTCGTGGACGCAATCTCATCCTTTCACAGTCACCTCGTGGTCAATTGATGCACAGAATAATCTGGAGCTATTGGTACAACCATGTGGTGGTTTGACTACTAACCTTAGTCGCTATGCTCCAAAAGCTATGGGAGGTTCGTTATCTTTCCTGGCACTGTTCACAGGTCCCCATGGATTGAGTGAGGATGTCCATGGGTATGAAACAGTCCTGGTGCTTGCTAGTGGATTTGGGATTGCAACGGCAATACCGAACCTGAAGAAAATGATTCAAGGTTATAAGACCAGCACATCTCAAGTTCGGCGACTACATTTAGTGTGGCAGGTAGAATCAGGCGAAGCTATTAACACAGCTCGGGCTCTATTGAACGACCTTCTAGGGGAAGATATCATAGACAGAAAGAAAGAAATCGACCTCAAGGAGGATACGGTGAATAACGGATATGTCAGTGCGACCTTGCATCAGTTTGCAGCACAAGACTGACATGGAACACCTTTCTAGAGACTGCATATCTCTATATATGTCCAGGATACTCAATCACACGAATTTCCACTTGGACAACATGGACGTGTCCATTTTTACCATGACATTCCTGACTACCGTGCCATAATCTCGCTCGAGGCATCTGGCGACTTGATCAAGCGACTATCTAACACATGGGACGAGCCAGGTCGCACATTAGTAATGGGTAAAAAATCCTTTCTTTCTTATGAGATATATGCTGACCATCCTGGCTAGTTTCCGCAACGAGCAGCCTTCGGGATCATATACGGAAAAGCATCCAAGAGAATATTTACAGAGGCGTGAAGCTTTCGGAACAGGAGTATCAACCCAATGTAGGGGCGGATTGAACTGTGGCGCTTGCAGGGATTAAAACCGCAAACGGACGAGCCTAATGGAACCTATGGCAATAATAGGTTCTCAGATCAGAAAAAGCCTACGGATATCGTTCGATACTTGTTTACTGGAAATTAAAATGACCCTCAAAGTTTAGAATGGCAGGTGCTATGACAGACTGGCTCCTTCACTGGCGCTATCGCGCCCTCCCCTCATAGCTACTACACTGTAGCGATATAAAGGTGAGACGAATCTTACGATATTGCAATATGTTTCGCGGATGAGGTTCAAGAATTCTTTGCTTTCGTGCATTTTTGACCATAATTAAAGAAACCCTAGCAAATATAGACGGGCAGGGGTTTCGTTAGTCATTCCTTGCAAGAGACACGCGAGAGTCGCGATAGCATTGCACGAAACCACAAACTGAGTATAATCAAGTTGTTTTGCCTTCAAACATGAGGGAACGTCTGAATGCTCATCCTGGTATTTTACAAATTAACATAATTTAGCTTTGAAGCAGCTGTATTCTCATACTTGCAAAAACCTCGTTTTGTGATACAACATGCAGGTTATTAATCAATTGTCAAGGGTCAGTTTGTGAACTAAAAAGTAGAATAAAAGGAGAATGGGAATGATGTTTTGCGCTAAATATAGAGGTGCGTGCTCAATCTCACTCACACATGCCGTGAGACTTGATTCTCATGCGATGACTGACTATTGAAAATATTTGAACTGAGAGTCTCCCTCCATAGTGATATATATCAGTACGTTGGTTGTATTACCTCAGATATTCTTTCAAGATCCAAGTCTTTGTGGTATAAAAAGCAAGACGTGTAAGCGTAAGCAGAGAATCTTTGGAGCACTGATGTTTTTTGAAAAGAGAAAGCTAAAAATGAATCAGTGATCCAAAGTTCTTTTCACTTTGCCATTAGACTCACTCTCTTTAAGTCTTGAACATTGACTACCGATGCTGTTGCCGACAAGAATTCCAAAGCCTCCGACTGCCAGTGTAGATTGTCGATGCCAATCACTCCACCAGGCTTAAGGTACTTCTGCATGAGAAGCATCGTGATATCGGCAATGAATCGAATGCTTTGGGTATGAGATTGGTTCAATTGCCGTCTGGTGCAGTGTTCCAGAGCCGCTGTCCCTTAGCGTAAGCAGAGCCCCTCGAGAATTTGGACACTGTATGTTTCCGTACCTATCTGAATTGCGCCATCCTGGCCAATAAGAATATTGGAACAGGTCAAAGCGGCGTGTTCAAACCCTTGATCCAGTAGGTAAGATAGGCCATCAAGTATCTGCCGTAGTCAGCACTATCCTTGTATCAAAATGCAAGATGATCACACCTGTCTCAGTATAGAAGCCAGCTGAAGCTCGGAGGGGAGGATGTTACAGGCTACTAGGTTTTCCAAAGTTAAGGGATAGTCATCGACAACGAAGTACGTCAATCCATGATCACGAAAGATTTCACTGGCGTAAACAATGTTAGGGTGGTAAGTGCAACGAAGTACATCTATCCATAAGTCCGCTTTGTGCTTCGAAAATTCTCTGATATGAATGATCTTAGAGGGATTCTTAATATTCTCAGCAACAATGGTGGGACCAGCTATTTCACAAGTGAAGCGCTCCTTAAATTTGATCCAAGGAGATCCCCACGTAGTAACAGGCAGACGGCTGATCTGAGGCTGTTTTTGGATGCTTTGACTACAGTCAATTTGACTTGGCGTGACTTTTGATTTTTTGCGGTCTTGGTTTGGCTCACGGGGTGTAGTTGGTTGCGGATGAGCCTTGAAAGGGTCAATCTGTGTGACTGGTCTGACCATGTTCTTGAGGGTAAAATATGCACAGAAGTAGGATAAATCAGAGCAAGCGAATGTGATACTTGATAGGATGTGTTCAAGGGGGCTGGAAGTGGCCCGTAGGCATGGATTTAATATATAATACTTCGTATCGGTGTTTGAAGGCTGTGGAACACTTTCGTGTGTTGTATTTACATGAGAAAAACCCTCTAATATGAATTATCATTCCGCTGGCAAAAATATATACGTACACGAAATTGGTCAGGAATTTCCGGGTCGAATTAATGCTGAATGGTCACGGTATTAGGTAATCATAATATAGATTAAGATGGCTGTAGAGTTCTGAATGAGTAGGGTAAAGAAAGCCTGGAATTATTCGTTTTATGGCTGTGAGCCCATTAATAAATGATGGAAAATACAGCGAGAAAAGGATTAGATGTACAAGAGAACAGAGGAAAAATTATGGCGGTACAATACTTTGTCGTGGCTGAATTTGTCATTACAGGGTCATAGTTAACGTAATCGTCAACCGAGCGAGCCACGCAAGCGAGCGAGCCACCCCCCTGAATCCTCCCACCTCCGAGAAACGAAGCAATTCAACCATCAATTTT